GATTGTCTGTGAAAAAAAATGATATGCTCCGGAAGCTCTTGTCTCAATAGCGTTTCTACACGGTTTTAGGGTATTTCGCTGAAAATTGACATAAAATTTGAGAAATAGTCATGGCTACATATTTTTGGCCAGCACTGTACTAACTTACTTTCTATTCTGCGTTGCAAATAACAAGACGTAGTTATAGGTTATGAGCTCAAACGCTTCCAATCCCAACGAAATACTCAGACTACACGTGGGAGTTCAAAGCCCGATTGACGGCGGCCAGGAAGACACCTCGAAGCTATGAAGCCAAAGATGCAGCGCGTCGTGAGACAGAGGAGTGGAGGGCCGCCGCATGAATGCGCTGGTTATTGTGGCTTAAACGCTAAGTCTAATCTACCAATCGATAATTTGTGACGCGGGTTCTGCCTATGACGCATGGGAAACGCTGCATACTCTCTTCCTTAGGCAGTCATTTCAAAACCGTGTGCAGTTGAGGAAAGAGCTGCATGGCTTTTCGCTAGGCATGGAAGGAGATCAGGTGAAGTACAACGTGACATTTGAGGGTCTGTTTTCACGGTAGGCGACGTCATGCCTGATGACGAGAAACAAAAGTTGGTCCCTTTACTTGAAAGCTTACTTCTGGAGTATGATGCAATGAATCGTATTATCGACGCGCACGAGGAGGTGACGTTGCTGGATGCTATGCCGTGAGTTCGAGTTAAACAAGAAGAGAGAGGAGAAAGAGCAAGCATTCAAGGCATCGATGCGCGAGCAAAGTCATTAAAGTGGTCGTGGTGGTCGTGGTGGTCGTGGAGGCTACAATGGTGGTCATGAACAACACCAGAACAAGACCACTGGACCAACATTTCGCGGGTACTGCTTTCACTGCAATGAGTACGGTCACAAGCGTGGCGGCTGTCCTGATTAAAAAACTAAGGATGATGTTTCTTACCACAGCAGTCGATTCGGCACAAGAGGCTGCCTGGCTACTCGACAGTGGAGTGAGCTACCAAGAGGATAGACATCGCGGAGTATCAAGAGTTAAAGCTGCCAGCCAGCATCACCATGGCTAGCGCAGCAATTACTACCCAAAGAAAGAGGACCCGTGCGTTTTGTTGTTGGAGATGCGCGAACAATCAAGCTGACGGATATTTTGTATGTGCTCGAACAAGATAGAACGCTGGTGATCGTTCCGTCGTTGACGGATTGTGGCGTTGTCATACAGTTTGAGCGCGAGTAAGCGACGCTAGTGGTGGTTGGAGAAGTGACAGACGCGATTAATCGATATGGTAATCTTTTAGTGTGACATTTATAGCAGCCCAAATGAGGACAAATTGCCAGGGTAGATGCCAGAAGGCGTGGAGATAGAGCGTTATCACAAGCTCGACTGGGCCATATTTCCGCATTGAAGATGCAAGCTTATACGAATATAAGTGATGGACTGCCTGAGCCTGAACATGAAGACGACAACATAGTTGCTATAATTGAGGTGGCTATTATTAAATTAAAATAGCGATATGTTGTCTGCACAAAGTTGCGGCAGTAAAGTCTAGACTAGAAACCGTCTGGTAGTCGTCCACAGTGATGTCATGGGCCCCAAAGCTTAAATTGAAAGGTGGGGCCTTGTATGTTCTTACGTTCATCGACGACTACAGTAGATACGTCTACGTGGTTGCTTTTTTGAGAGCACAAGTCTTTGATCGCTTTCGCTAGTTCAAGCCCTCGCAGAGAACCAAATTGAATTCAGGATTAAGTGTGTACGTAGCGATAACGGTGGAGAGTACACCAACGTGAATTTCAATTGGTTTTGTGAAACCAATGACATCGTGCATCGAACAAGCGTTCCGTATTCTCCACAGCAGAAAAGATCCGCGGAGAAAATGAACCGCGCGGTAAATAAATGACCCGAGCCAGGATGTATCACATAGAAGTAGAGCAACACTGGTGGGAGAGGCCGTGATGACAGCTTTCATGTAGATAACTGTATTCAAATACTGCGCATTGCAACACTCCAATGAAAGTACTCACCGGCACGCAGCATTCACTCGAGCACCTTCTGGTTTCTGGATCTACCGGGTACATGCATCGCGACAAGAATAAGAGGACGAAGTGGGACTCGAGGTTCCACCGCTGCTTCCTCTTGAGATATGCTGACGGCTCGAAGGATTACTGAGTCTGGTACCTCGACAACAAAACGCTGGTTCAACCGCACACGATGATGCTAAAGGAGAGACCACCTGCTTGTTATCACGATGTTGTTGTCGTTGATAGTGCTGGAGATAGCCAAACGAAGTTTGCGCTCGAAATCGACGACGATGGACACGCGCGAGTACACCCACTGCCACAGACATGAAGATCAATGAAATAGGAGATTAACTTATGCTTATGAAGGTAGATAGTTCCGTTATTCAGCTGCAGAAGTCGCGCTTGATAAGGGCTTTTCGAGTGTTGCTAACACTGTCGCTGATATTTGCAGGCTCAATTAAACTTAGTTGGAAAGTTATCCTAAACGAGAACTATGATCCTATAGCCCCAACAATTCTGGATTAATCACGTCCGGACAATACCTCAAGGACCTAGTAAAAGATGAACATTATACGAAAGCGATTTGCACAAAATCGACAGCGAAAATCAACATTAACACTGATGAAAAATGACAACAGATGCAAAATGCAATGGATAATTTCGAAGAGTTAGGACATGCTAGAATCAATTGTATTAAAAAACGATATCGACCTTGGATTGGAATGGCGGGATATGAAAAGCCGCGATGTTGAAAGGCTTAGATCGGGGTAAAAGCATTCAGTAAAAGGTGTTGGACTGGGTCGCATTTTTAAGAGTGTTCTGCAACCGGTAAGGAGCAGAGGCTGGGAATCTTAATGGATGGTTTAAGGGACATAAACAAGATGTCGGGTTGTCCATCCAGCTGACGAGCATAAAATAGAGGCGCGTCAAGATACCAAGTCCAAAAGGCATATCGATCCAATGCTGTCGGTCCGCGATGATGATGGTGATAAAATCTCTAACGATACTTTAAAGAAAAAAGGTCATACATCTTATCGTTGTACACTGCGATAAAGATTTGAAGTAGCATATAACATCTTATCGTTGTACACAGTGATAAAGATTTGAAGTAGCATATATTAGAATTTCAAGTGCGGACCGCATTCTAGATGTTAGAGACAAGCACGGTCAGGTTGCTTCAAGCGTTCCACTTGGTACTTTTTTTAGGATATTTGATGGTTCTTTTGTCATTAAAAGGTTCATATGTTGAGGTGAGCTAAATTTAAGGCCCCATAAATATAGATAAGTTGAAAATGATTGATAATGTGAATGCACATATTTAAATTATTGGAAGAACTGACAATATGAATGCAAATTGTCAGATTATTCGAGAGAAACGAAATGGTTGTAAAGAACCAAAGGTCTAAGCGAATCGGTCACGATTTTAGACTACATCAACTTGTGGTTGAAGCTAAATTAACGTACTGGGTCTATGAAAAAGTACACAATAATTGAAGCCAAAATAAGAGGTGTATTTGTTCTTTTGTCCGTCCTAACGTTGCCGTATCTATGCCAAATTACTCAGTCTACCTAGCCCGTAAGTTATCAAAGCGGCGAGGGATGTGAGCTTTGGCTTGTAAACTTCAGAGTGAGCCTCAAAATTGATTTTTCAAAACACAAAATCAGCTGAAGCCAAAACATTTCTTTTTTAGTATACTTATTGAGTTAATTTGACATAAAACTTGGCGAAAAGTTCTTTAATTATGATAAGTTAAAATCAATCAATTTATTGCAAATGCTTTAAACGCGCTAATATATCTCATGTTCTTAAAACATTTATTTGAAAAGATAGCTCTGAACACTGCGTAGTTAAATTTTGTCCTTTGGGGGCCGACATCTAACAGACACCCATATCACCAGATGCAGCGAATTTAACCCTATTCGACAGAGTAAAGCTACCATCTAGGCACTTCTCAGGTCTTTTCTTACTTTGTACGAACAGACGTAGGCCTGAAAAATAGATATATAATTGCAACCTCTTTCTTCAGAATACTGAGCGGCATCGTCTTAATACAAAACTATAACCTGCATGGGATGCAAGTTTAGCCAAACGTTTATTCATATTAATAGCTCTGGAGCGAATACATTAGATCTTGAGATATTGACAACAAGACTCGTGTTATAGTACAGCCCACTCGACGAAAATGCGGTTCGAAGGAAGAAAACATAAACCTATTTTAGATAGTTATTTAAACGCTCGCTTTTTTAGTGAAATCAATATCACCCAAGCGGCCTGGATACCGACGAAAAAGGCTAATGAAGAGACCCTCGTCGCCCACACACTTTAAATTCCACGTAGAATAGGGAACTCTCTTGATCATCGAACAATGCCGGCGGAGATTGACCTTCTTACCGCTGGATCTCATGATCGCTGCCGGTCGTGGGGGCACGCCGACTCTTTCAAAGAGTCTGGCGTGCGGTCGAGGCTGAGATGAGTTACATCTCAGACTTTTCTTCGAGCTTTGCCATCGCACTTCCTGTATCAAGAAATTGCAATTGTCCAGAACCGCGTCGATACTGTGAAACAGAGTGTAGCTCAATTACAGGGAACGATAGAGCAGATTTTTCAAGTCCGACTGGCTCGTAAGTGCGGGATCGTGGTATGTTGTCAGTAAGCCCACATTATGCACTGAATTTGCTTGTCTGCCGATTGCGATTTACAGAGTATAACTCGACTCTCTACTTTGCGAAGCCTGTTTCCGTCCCGATGTTACGCGGTCACTAATGAGTCGTATACAATGCAGATGTAGGTATGTTAAATTG